CACACCACATGCGGTCCTTGGCTTTAGCCAAATTCTCGACCGAACTTCTATTTTACTCAACAATTCCCACTTGACTGAACATGATAACTTAATAATGGCTGAAGACGCAATAAACACTCGGGACTTGCTGGAATAAAATGGAAGTAACTAGGTCTTGGCCTAAAATGGCCTAAACCGAGCTTAATATGGCATATTCATGAAATTTCAAGCTATGAGCTGAACAACCTCACACCAACTGAACTTATAACATGAAAGAGAGTTGGAGATAAGGGTACCTCTCCAAACGTTCGGCTGAAAACGAAAGATAGGCGTGATTCCTTGGTTCCGCGTGTGGTAAGGTGTGGCCGTGCGGTGCTTACGGTGCGGCGGAAGCTAGTTGCCGTGCGTGTGGTATGGAGAATTTTTGCTGGTTTACTTGGCTGAACTTACTAACTTATGCTGTACTAATATGGAGCTTCAAAAGTTGGGGAAAATTTCCCAAAACTCCACCTATATATAGATGGGCCAAAATGAGGATGGGTGACGAAGTGAAGGCGTGGCCTTTTGCTCTTTTGACAATTTCTATTTAACTAGTGACTAACATGGATTAGTCACCCCCAAATACACCTCTTAATTCCACGTATCCAATGCTTAACATAGAAGGAAAATGTTCCTTAAGACTTAGGAAATTTATACAACATTTGGAAAAATTCTTGCCATAAATCCATACGGCTTTAATGCCATTAGTGTGTGATTAATATTAATTAATCACTAACGTATGTTTAATTATTAAATTAAACATAATGCTTAATTACCAAAATTATTCCGAACGTAAACGGTACGTCGAAAATAAATTTCGGTAATCTCGACTGATAATAATTAATTCCAAAAATAATAATTGATAACATTATTATATCGGAATTAAAACATAATTTATACTGATAAAATATCGGGATATTACAATCCTCCCTCCTTACAAAATTTTCGTCCTCGGAAATTCAAAAAATAACTGATATACATGAACTATGTACATGGAACATAAATATGTACATCAAAACTGAAAATCTGGAAAACGAGTGCGAATATCGGACTCCTCCTCCCAAGTAACTCCGTGGCGATCCCACTGAATACGCACGAGGGGAATATCTCGCTTCCGGAGCCGATGAACCTGACGGTCCAGTACAGCTACCGGTCGCTCCTCGTACGATAGATCTGGCTGAACCTGAATATCCGAATGAGGAATGACATGATCGGGGTCGCACATGTATTTACGCAACATCGATGCGTGGAAAACATTATGAATGCCTGACAACTCGGGAGGTAGGGCTAATCGATACGCGACCTCTCCTACTCGTTCGAGAACCTCGAACGGACCGATGAATCGAGGGTGCAGCTTCCCTCTCTTTACAAATCGAACGACTCCGCGAATCGGACGAACTCTGAGAAAAGCTGGCTCGCCAACCTCGAACTGAATATCTCGTCGATGATGATCGGCGGAAGATTTCTGTCGACTCTGAGCTGTCCTGAGTCTCTGCCGGATCAACTCGACCTGATCTGCCGTTTCCTCGATCAGCTTAGGACCGAGTATTCGTCGCTCTCCAACGTCGTCCCAATAAAGAGGGGAACGACACTTGCGACCGTAAAGTGCCTCGTAAGGAGCCATCTGAATAGAAGAATGGTAGCTGTTGTTATACGCGAACTCTGCGTACGGCAACAACGACTCCCACTTAGCACCCCTGTCAACAACCAAAGCGCGAAGCATATCCTCAAGTGTCTGAATAGTCCGCTCGGACTGACCATCTGTCTCCGGATGGTAGGCTGAACTGAACTCTAGCTTCGTGCCCATCGCCTCATGTAAACTATGCCAGAATCGACTGACGAATCTGGGATCTCTGTCAGATACGATCATAACGGGCACTCCGTGGAGTCGAATGATCCCACGGGTATATATCTCAGCCAACTTGTCCAGAGACATCTTCATCGAAACGGGTAAGAAATGCGCAACCTTAGTCAATCTGTCGACCACGACCCAGATAGCGTCGTGATGTTCAGACGACCTCGGTAATCCCGTAGCGAAATCCATCGTGACTTCCTCCCACTTCCACCTCGGAATCGGCAGTGGCTGCAGGAGACCGATCAGACTCTGATGTTCGGCTTTGACTTGCTGACAGGTAAGACATCTCCTGACGAACTCGGCGACGTCCTTCTTCATGCCTCGCCACCAGAACAACCCTTTCAGGTCGTGATACATCTTCGTGCTCCCGGGATGGGCCAGATAGGGTGCGGTATGAGCCTCTGATAAAATCTCCTTCCGCAACGCCTCGACCTTCGGGACCACGATCCTGCCTCTGAACTCTACGGCACCATCGACACCTAACTAGAAATCCTCAACGCCTCCAGCGCGAACCTTGGCCTCCAAGACACGAACAAACTCGTCCGAATCCTGCTCTCGCCGGATTCTCTCTCTCAGCGTTGGCTGAAGCTGCATGGCACTGACACTGGCACTGGTACTCCCCGAAACGGCTATGGGAAGTGCATCGATCGCCTGAAGCTGCATCCGGGCAAACTCATGAATCAATGGACTCTGCTGGGTAATGACGTACGTCAAGTCACCCCTCACCTTTCGGCTTAGGGCGTCAGCAATGACGTTCGCCTTTCCCGGATGATACTGAATAGAACAATCGTAATCCTTGACAAGCTTGAGACAACGGCGCTGTCTCATATTAAGCTCCTTCTGCGTGAAGATGTACTGCAGGCTCTTATGATCTGTGAAAATCTCGCAACGTCCGCCGTAAAGATAATGTCGCCAGATCTTGAGAGCATGAACAACGGCGGCTAATTCCAAGCCGTGCGTCGGATAGTTCTGCTCATGAGGTTTAAGCTGACGTGAAGCATACGCGACGACCTGGCCGTCCTGCATAAGGACACATCCCAAGCCCTGTCTCGAAGCATCGCTGAAGATAGTGAAACTACGAGAAGGATCGGGAATAGTCAACACCGGTTCTGAAGTTAACCTCCTCTGGAGCTCCTGAAAGCTCGCCTCACAACGATCAGTCCATTCGAACTTCACAGACTTCCTCGTCAGCTGGGATAGAGGGAGGGCAATCTTAGAAAAGCCCTCGATGAACCTGCGATAGTAGCCAGCTAAACCGAGAAAACTGTGAACCTCGGACGGACTCCTCGGTGTCGACCAGTTCTGAACGGCTGAGACCTTGGAAGGATCCACCTCGATACCTGCCTGAGTAATCACATGACCCAGAAAGGATACTCGCTGGAGCCAGAACTCGCATTTGGAGAATTTTGCAAACAACTTTTCTCGTCTGAGGGTTTCGAGAACCACCCTCAGATGCTCCTCGTGCTCCTTCTGGCTCTTCGAGTAGATAAGAATATCGTCAATAAATACAATAACAAACTGATCGAGGTAGGGATGGAAAATACGGTTCATAAGGTCCATGAAAACAGCTGGAGCATTGCTGAGGCCGAATGGCATGACGACGAACTCGTATGGCCGTAACGAGTCTGAAAGCGGTCTTAGCGATATCTGATTCCTTAATCTTCAGCTGATAGTAGCCTGATTGTAAATCAATTTTTGAGAACACACAGGCTCCCCTCAACTGATCAAATAAATCGTCGATCCTGGGAAGCGGATACTTATTCTTGATCGTCAACCGGTTAAGATCTCGGTAGTCGATACACATACGCATGGATCCGTCCTTCTTCTTAACAAAGAGAACGGGTGCTCCCCACGGTGACACGCTCGGTCGGATGAAACCGAGTCGTAACAGCTCCTGAATCTGCGCCTTAAGCTCCTGCAACTCCTTTGGCGCCATACGATACGGGGCTTTGGAAACTCGACCGGCCCCTGGAATGAGATCGATAGAGAACTCCACCTGCCGGTTAGGCGGTCCTCCTGGAAGCTTGTCTGGGAACACGTCCACGAACTCACGAACGATTGGAACATCATGAGGTGAGCGTGCTTTCTGAGAATCGTCGACAAGGCTCACCAGATAACCCTGGCAGTTGCCTCGTCGCAATAGCTTAGTGGCTTTCGCCATCGAAACAACATGAGGCAGTGAACGATTCCTGGAGCCAAAGAAAGTAATCGACTCGTCTTCCGGAAGATAGAGAGTGATCTCCTGGTCATGACACCTGATGTCTGCATGATAGAAGGATAGCCAATCCATTCTGAGAATAAGGTCGAAGTCCCTCATCTCGAGAACAAATGCGTCGGTAGACAATACTCGGCCACCGATGGAAAGGCTAAGATCTGAGGCTTTAGTTGAGGTCACTATCTTTCGTCCCGAGGCTAAACTCACCTCGAGAGGATCGACCGCAGTAATGGCATGAACTCCGATGGCATCAAGACATCGTCGTGAAATGAATGAATGCGTTGCTCCAGTATCGAACAAAGCGAAAATAGGAATATCATTAAGCACAACCATCCCTGACATAGTACCTGGCTGCTATGCTGCCTCGGCCTGATCAACTGCGTAAACCCGGGCCTGCTGTCTGCCCCTCTGCTGCTGCTGCTGAGGCGGCCTCTTCGCCTGCTGACGTGGCTGCTGCTGCTGTGGTGGCTGCGGAGGCTGCTGAGGCTGCTGCTGAAGTCTCTTCGGACAACGACTCGCAAAATGTCCAGGCTCGTGGCAGTAGTAGCAAATGTCCTGACCCATGTGGCACTCTCCCAACTGAAGTCGTCCGCACGGGCACGGTGGAACCTGTTGCTGTCTCTGTCGGGTCCTCTGGTCAGTCTGTGTACCCTTCCCCTTCCTCTTCTTCTCCTTTGCCGGCTGAGCAGCTGGTAGAGCTGGTGGAGCTGCGAATGGCTGAACTGGGGCGGATGTCAGGGCACGATCACGGACGGCCTTCCTCCTGATGCTAGCGTCCACCTCCTGGGCGATAGAAACTGCACGAGCGTAGGTCTGTGTCCCGTGTCCCACAATGTTATGACGGACTGCTGGGTAAAGCCCGTCGATGAACCGCTGTGCTCTCTGGGCCTCCGTGCGAACCAGGTCCGGTACGAAAGCTGCAAGTCTAGTAAACTCTCTCTCGTACTCATCAACAGTACGAGTGCCCTGCTGGAGCGCTAAGAACTGACGCTCCATCTCTGCCCAATAATATGAGGGGTAGTACTTTTCGCGGACTAGCTCCTTGAGCATATCCCACGTACAACCCGCTTTCTCACCGGGACGCATGCTCCAGTAGGCATTCCACCAGAGCCTAGCATCACCAGTGAGCTGAAGCTGAGCATAAACTACACGATATCTATCTGGACAGTCCATGACCTCAAAGATAAACTCCAGGCCCTGAATCCATTAATCAACGATGCGGGGATCTCCCCGCCCTGAGATTTTTCAGCGTGATAGTCGTGGAACTGTGCGACTACAGTAGCCTGAGTAGGAGCCTGATGATCGGGTTCCCTATGTGGCGACATCTGAACATTGAGAGAGTTTAACATTATTGAATACGTGATAACATCTTGACTGATTACTAAGGCACACAGATCTCTTGACAAGTTGCCAAAAATGGCCGATAATTACTGACATGAATCCTGAAGAACTCTAGAGTCATATCGAAAGATACTAAAGTCTAGAGTCATGAATGTACTGAGTTCTAGAGTCATATCTGAAAGTCCTGAATTCTAAAGTCCGATCCTGATTCGAGCATCTTAACTAAGTCCTGATCCATAATTTCTGAGCATAGACAAAGTAATATGTTTATAACTGAAAACATAAATCAACACTTACCTATCGTCGGCGGGGCGTGAGCATGACGGTTCAGGTTTTTCTAAAAAATTATTGACTGAAAACTTTTTCAGAGACGCAGAAACGTGCTCTGATATCAATTGTAACACCCCACCTTATCGTAAAATCAGAGTGCAAAAATTTCGCAAAGTCATTTAAAAATAAAATCTTTTACTTTGCGAAAACTGATTTGGGGTGCTACCGTAAAAACGTGACTTAATTTCGAAAACCGTTATCGTAATTTTCTAATAGGCAAAATTGCATATAAAAGCACCACCTTTTATGTTTTGGCAATTTAATCACCACCTTTGCAATTTAGCAATTTAATACACAACTTTACTTATTTCTTGCAATTCGAATCACAGGGCCCAATTTTCGGGCCTGTTCTGGTGACGTGGCATTTTGTGGTGACGTGGCGTTTCCACGTGTCAATGACGGGGCATCTTTGGGCTGACGTGGCAGTCTATGTCAATTGAAAAAAAAAAAAGAATATGTATGTGTAGAAAGGGGGGTTTGAACTCTGGTCTCCATGGGAGAAAAGTAACTATGCTACCAACTCACCTATCCATGTTAGTTAAACTATTCAATAACAATTTATATATATAAGAATTACGTATGAATAAATTATATTAAGTTTAGAATAATTAAATATATTATACTTTTTTTTTTTCGAAACGATAGAATTAAATATATTATATTAAATTAATAAAATATAAAATTATCATAAATTAAATTAAATGAAAATAAAATAAATGAAGATAATTAAAAATCTTAAATAAATATAATAAATTAAAAATATAATTTACGTAAATAAAATGTTAAATAATCATAAATGAATAATGAAACAAAAATTGTTATTTTTATATAAAATAATAAAATATTAAAAATCTTAAATGAAATAATAATTTATTATATAATAATAAGTTATTATATTTATAATAAATTTATTTTAAATAAATAAATAAAAATATGAAATTAATATAATATTATTAATTCGATTCACTCTAACACAAAATATGAATTCAAAAAAATATATTTTAATTATCTTAATATATTATTTTTAATTCAATTTTATATAGTTTAATTTAATATAAATAAATTTCTTTTAGATTTAATTTGATTTCTTCATACGTAATGTGTATATATATAAAAGGTAATTACATTTGACAACTAAGTTGGATTGGTGTGGTGGTAGCAATGGTTGCCTTTTAACCCTTTTAACCCAGGATCGAATCCCATAAATGGCGGACAACATATTTTTTTTTTTAATTGACACATGGGTCGCCATGTCAGCGCAAAAATGTCATGTAATTGTTGACACGTGGAATGTCGTCAGCAAAAAAATGCCATATCAGCAGAACGGGTCGCCACGTCAGCAGAACAGGCCCGAAGTTGGGCCCTGTGATTCAAATTGCAAAAAATAACTAAAGTGGTGTATTAAATTGCTAAATTGCAAATGTGGTGATTAAATTGCAAAAACATGAAAGGTGGTGCATTTATATGCAATTTTGCCTTTCTAATAAAGTCATACTGTTACTGAAAGCATAAAGTTTTACATAAGTCCGGTCAAAATATAAGTTCATCAAAACCATCGTCAGCAGAAACGTAAACCGTCATAATATATACACAATCAAAACATAAAAGTCCTGAAGCCTTCGTCATCTCACGCTCCCGGCCCGACGTCTTGACCTGAAAAACATGATAACAATGGGAAATGAGCACTATGGCATTGTGCACTCATACTAATGTAAACATTGAAAATAATAACAACATCATGATATCGGCATATACATAACCTCAAGATGAAACCGGTAATAACATGAACATGAATCTGATATTGTCGCGCAACGTGACACTGACCGTTACCTCATCTGCCGGCAAAAACTAATGTCGGACACCATGTGCACACTCTAGTGGGCAGACTAAGGCCACTAGAACCCAGAATGGACCGGCGACCATTCCGAGCGGATACATGACATGAAATATATACCTCAAACATGGTACCGTAATTATAATCAATGTAGTACTTAGTCTGAGTCCCCACCTGAATCTGCTGAACTGAACGGTAGTGCTGATGCCTGATCAAACTGAAAATAATATAAACAATTACTATTGACTATGCTCAGACTGTTAACTTAGCTGATTAATTTCGTTAAGATGCTCTACTGAACCTGACATGATATTTAGACTTAACCGGAATAACCGGAACTGAACTGACATGAACTGATCGGACATGAACTTACGGAACTGAAATAATCCCGGAAATTTAACTTAAATGGCACTTAAAATGCGAACTGGGATCAAAATAACATTATTTGGGTCAAACCGGTATTAACCGGTCCGATCGGGTCTGGCCGGACCGCCGGTCTGCTCGGACCGGTCGGCCGGCGGCTGACTCAGTCCACGGCCTGCCAAGGCTGCGGCCGCGGCTGCTGGTGGAACTGATGCGGGCACGGCCGTTGCGGCCTGCCTGCCATGGCCATGGCCGAGAGTGCTGCGTGCACCTGACCACGGTTGGGCATGCACAGGGCGTGGCGCGGCTGCTGCACGGCTGACGGTGCGGTGCTGGCCATGGACGCGCGTGCCGACATGCAACTGAACGCTGCGGGCGTGCGCTGTGCCTTCCCGCAACACTGGCTACTCGAGCAGGCTGCTGCCGAAGCCATCATCAAGCGACGCTGCGTGCTGGCGTGCGTTACCGCATGCTGGCACGCTGGTTGGGTGTTGGCGTGCACAGGCGCACTGCCAACGGCCACTCGCAGCGGGTACTGATTACATGCAGTACCTGCCGCGCATACCTGCACTACCCGCGCACTGCCTGCTGTGCTGGGTGACTGCTGGGCTCGGCTGCCGCTATGTGCGGACAGCACGGCCTACGGCCTACCCTTGCCGGCCGTCCGACATTATTTTCTAACAACCTTAACATAAAACAACATCACTTGACTTAATATGACCAATATACTGAATTTACATGAAAATGCTGAACTTGTTCAATGATCCAACTTACGGCCGAGGATGCACTCGCTATACGTGACCAACTCTTCGACTAACGTGACAACCTCACGACCAACCTTATATGACTGACCATAAAATAATATTTTAAAGCTGTTGGGACATGAGTTGTACGAACAAACTTGTTTATAATAAAAGATAACATGATACGGCCGTGACACGCACACCACATGCGGTCCTTGGCTTTAAGCCAAATTCTCGACCGAACTTCTATTTTACTCAACAATTCCCTCTTGACTGAACATGATACCCTTAATAATGGCTGAAGACGCAATAAGCACTTGGGACTTGCTGGAATAAAATGGAAGTAACTCGGTCTTGGCCTAAAATGGCCTAAACCGAGCTTAATATGGCATATTCATGAAATTTCAAGCTATGAGCTGAACAACCTCACACCAACTGAACTTATAACATGAAAGAGAGTTGGAGATAAGGGTACCTCTCCAAACGTTCGGCTGAAAACGAAAGATAGGCGTGATTCCTTGGTTATGCGTGTGGTAAGGTGTGGCCGTGCGGTGCTTACGGTGCGGCGGAAGCTAGTTGCCGTGCGTGTGGTATGGAGAATTTTTGCTGGTTTACTTGGCTGAACTTACTAACTTATGTTGTACTAATATGGAGCTTCAAAAGTTGGGGAAAATTTCCCAAAACTCCACCTATATATAGATGGGCCGAAATGAGGATGGGTGACGAAGTGAAGGCGTGGCCTTTTGCTCTTTTGACAATTGCTATTTAACTAGTGACTAACATGGATTAGTCACCCCCATATACACCTCTTAATGCCACGTATCCAATGCTTAACATAGAAGGAAAATGTTCGTTAAGACTTAGGAAATTTATACAACATTTGGAAAAATTCTTGCCATAAATCCGTACGGCTTTAATGCCATTAGTGTGTGATTAATATTAATTAATCACTAACTTATGTTTAATTATTAAATTAAACATAATGCTTAATTACCAAAAGTATTCCGAATGTAAACGGTACGTCGAAAATAAATTTCGGTAATCTCGACTGATAATAATTAATTCCGAAAATAATAATTGATAACATTATTATATTGGAATTAAAACATAATTTATACTGATAAAATATCGAGATATTACACCCGGTGTCAGCCTGCGTGCTCCCAGCTGCCTCTTGGCCCAAATGCTCGTGTCCCAGCCCAATTGCAGCGTTGCCCGCGGCCCAGTTCGCGGTGTAGCAGCCCAGCGAGTGCCTATGCGAGCCCAGCGCGTGTCAAGTCAGCCCAGCGTGCTCCAGCCGGTCTAGAAGCAGCGCAGACCGGCCCAAACGCAGCCAGCGAGTTACAAACCGGTCCAATTCGGTCCAGCACTCCCAGTTGGTGTCCAAGGCGGTTCCCGAGCAGTCCGAATTGTCTGATTCACTAACCGAAGGTCCAAGACGATCCGATGAGCTTGATGAGCGATTGGAGCACCTTGACAACTCGATTAGAATCGAGAAAGGCTAAGTCTAGCTGCCCATTAGACTTTGGTGTTCAGACAATCTCCATCAACGGAAATCAGAAACGTCTCAGAGTCGGCAAAAATTTTAAACCGTAAGTCCTAATGCTATCTATAGATTCTGCTGCGTTAGGATTTATCATTCAATAGATTTGAATGTGCACATTGTCGACGTTCCTAATAGAACCCAACAACTGGTATCAGAGCCCAGGCTAATTCTACTTTGTGCACTATTCGAATTAGGACTTACGTGATATATGTGAATTAATTGTGTACGGACGCAGCGCATAATAGATTAGAATGGCAAATAAGTGTGTTTGCAGGTATTCTTGAATCCGACTATTATGGGCCGCATGTATGTTTTTTTTTTAATTCATGTATGTCCTTTTAAAAAGCCTCGGACATGTCGAGGATTTTTGGGTTGGTTAATGCTTGTAATAATTTATGCGCGCGGTGGGACACCACATAGTTTAAATGCTTTACTAGATCATTCATGTACGACCCCTGCGTGGGCCATAGGATCAATGTATGTAATTTATATTATGTAACTGTTCGTTCGACCCAGTAAGAGCGGACATCTCTCGACGAGACGAGGCAGGCTACCCCGCAACCCGTAGTTGATGGGATACGTGGTACTGTGCAAATGCAGACATACTCGTAGGCAACTTGCTGTCAGATACGAGCATTGTTAAGGTGTTTGCAGACGGATACGCACGGACCCAGGTCAACAGAAGTACGAGCAACGGCGGCAGTAGGCACACGCCAACAGAGGAGACTCGATGGCGACTTTCCCGATGATGACTTATTCAAGACGAAAAGTGAGAGGCACGGCGAAAAAGAAAATTCCAAGTCCTGAATCGGAAGACCCAGTTCAACAAGGACTAGACTGCGTTTCCCTAAAGATTGGAGATTGATTAAAATGGCCATGATAGTTGGATCTTAGTTCCTCGTTTATTATTGCCTATTAATCATGCATGTCCTTATGTGATTTAATTGCTCTATTTTGCAAATTGAATTATTAGGAGCATGTTTAAGAAAATCCCTTTAAACTAAAAATTATATTAAGCGTGTAATGGGTTGAAATAAATAACATACAAGGCCTCCATTATAGGTTTGTCAGTGAAGTGATTTAAATCGAGCCCAAAGGACGTTTTATTTCACATTTCACAAGGACGAATCTCCTTCGAGATGGTTATAGTGAGCTATTTCAAAAGCGTACGGGTCACCCAAAGGTGGACGTATAATTTTGGTAGTAAACTTAGGACGAATTAATGGGTTACGCTTAAAGTGAAAATAATTACGATATTCCCAAAGGAAAATGTCATTTTTATTCTTTTATAAGTTAATTGCGCTTGCAAAAAGTTCGACCGACTATTAGTTAAGTATTGCTTGACAGTACGTTAAGCTAATGGGAATTATCCCTCCTCTTGCGACGGTTTGAACCGTAGACGTCCACACTCCGTGGCCTGCGGGGATTTGGTGTTTTGAGGTGCCGGTGAATTTATTCAAATGTTGTTTTGAAGAGATCAATATTGATGATTCGAAAACACTTGATTGAGTAAAGACTATGTTTGCATGATCCCAGGAATTCAAAATGTCTTTTCAATCCGTTGTCCGTAATACTTAAAGATAATTTACTTGTTCAAACATGATTAGAAATAGAACTTGGATAGTGTATTGTTTTGCTGAAGAATACAAGCCGAATGGCATGTGTATCTGGTCTAAGCGAAATAGACATAGAAAGATGAACTGTCCTATCCTTAATACAAGAAAGGTAAATCTTATTCACTGGGAAGTCGAAGCATTTTAAGTGTTGTTATCTATCAGTGCCTGGTATATAGATACGTAACCACTAATTATGTAAAAAGGTTTCTGTAACACCCCGCTAGCTTACTAAAATCAGAGTGCGATTTTCGCAAATCCTTTTCTAAAGTTTACATTTTATTTTGCGAAACATATCTCGGGATGCTACATAAAATATTTCTTTTCTGAAAATCCATTAATTATAAACCCATTTATGAAAAACGGATTATCATTATAAAACAAGCGTGTGATACTGTATAAAACTAGACCCGAAAGCTCAGATCGTCATCTGAAAATTTACACGCTAGTTTGAAAGTCTGAAAACATCAGCGGAAGTAAAACGTGGCAAATATATACATATCGACAGTCTGCAAAAATATATACATATTTACATGTAATGGACCGGCGACCACCAGCTCCACTCACTCCTCCGGACCGACCCTGTCTCCTGAAAAGAATCATAATAGTGGGAGCGTGAGTACTAAAAACACTGTACTCCGCAGAAACTCACACTGAAATAAACATAATTAATAATATCAATATCATGACTGCAGGTATATATAAGTAAACTGAAATCTCCAGAC